TATATATATATATATACTGTTTGTTCATAAAACATTTTATAGAAAAACATTTACAACTTCTCAAAAATGGCATCAGGTTATGGATGTTTCTCCTGGACAGAAATGTGGACAGAAATGTTTATTCAGATAAAAACTATTAAAATAAAACTGCTATAGGTGTAATTTGTCTAAATAAGATCTATATTATTGCTGCTACCAAAGATTTTTCAGCAGAGTATTAAGTGTATTTATATGGCCCATGTTACGCAGCACGGTGGCACAGTTGTTAGAGCTGCTGCCTCTCAGCAAGCAGGTTGTCCCAGTTCAAATCCTAGTCGGGGGCCTTTCTGGGTGGAGTTTGCATGTTCTCTCCGTGCATGCGTGGGTTTTCTCCGGGTACTCCAGTTTCCTCCCACAGACCAAAAACATTTAGACTGATTGGTAACTCTAAATTGTCTCTAGTAGAGTTGCATTCGGGCACAAAAAAATCTGACCTGACCCAGCCCCAGCCCATAGCCATCATTTCCAAACCCCACCCGACCCAACAGGTTAACAGTAATTACAGGTCCGAACCCGACACCCCCCCCCCCCCCCAACATTTTTAATTAAGCTTAGACCTGTCTAGGGTGTCCCCTGCCTCTCACACAGTGATGGCTGGACATGGGCACCAGTGAAACCTGTGACACAAAAAGGAAGAAGCGGTTAAAGATAATGGATGGATGGATGAGATGGATGGATGAGATGGATGGATGAGATGGATGGATGAGATGGCCCATGTCATTCCCTTTCTCTTCTCTTTGGGAGGGTGTTTTTGTGGCAGCTGAATGTGTGTGATGTATTTTGTTAGCAGATATGACATAACTCGTATCTCCTGTTTTAGGTTTATGGTGCTGCTATCCAGTTCTACGAGCCATACCCACAGGAGTGCCTGACTGATCAGCAGTCCTCCCAGCTGGGTTTCCCACAACAGCACAACCCAGCCAACATTACAGCCAGCACCACAGACAGCTCCAGCCACTGTTCACTCTACACCAACAAGTGCATCTGCTTGCTCTCTCACTGGCCCTTCTTTGATGCTTTCTGCAAGTTCCTCACATTCCTCTATCGTTACTCCATCTCAGGCCCTCATGCACTGCCCATTGAAAAGTGAGTTGACTCAGATTTGATGGTCTTTTGTTACAAAACATTTAGACAAATTAATAAATAGTGCAGAATGTGTATAACTTTAAAACTAATGAATTTGATTTTTTTTTTTTTTGCATGTGAACATGTATGAAAATAAATGTGTATACTTTGAAACCGATGACAAGTTCAGGCTCCAGAAAAGAACACAGAAGAAGATGAATGGAAATTAAGTGTTATTAGGAAGTAAAAAAATGTAATTTAAAAGGAGACGGAGATCACTACACCAACAGGCTCACCCAAAAACAAAAATATGGAAACATTTGTTTTGTCCCCAAATTTGAGATTGAACATTAAATGTAGAGGAATAAAAGTCAAAATATTGTATTATTTCAGGACTATAGTCAAAATTGTGTAAGTAATGTGATTGAGAATAAAAACAGATTAGACATCCAAATCATTATTGGCACACAGATCAAAAGTAGACAGATTGTTATAGGGGACTTTTTACGTCAGAAGTTTTAATCATGGTCAGTAGGTTTAATTTGGTTTCAAAAGCTATATTTGTTCCTTGTGGCACACTTTGATATGTAGCACTGGGAGGATAAACAGTTAATGTTCATTTAACATCCAGCAACAAAGACAATGATTCGTAAATATAAAGTACGATGATACATAAATACAAGCACAACAGTCATTGGTTAAAAAATTATAGTAAAACCACCAAAATAGACCGTTTGTCCTCCTGTAATTTAACAAGGAGATGACAAGTGGTAAGAAAGAATGTTTGGATCTGTTTTGCAAATGAAATGACTGAAGCATGAATCAGGACATTTTGAACCACTTTGGCCATGACTGCCTTAAATGGTGGGGGAGAGGGTGGACTACAGAAACCACCTGAGCACTAAACTGGTTGATCCACTATGAGAAGGTACTATTTATAAGATTGAGTTTGTAGCAGCTCAGACTGAAGAAGTCTTTTGGATGAAAGAGGAAACATTTCAACAAAAAGAAACCATCCAGAGGACCTGACTGAACTTTGTTAGATACAACCAGACTTTTGAATTTTCAGAAGTTATTTCAGGAAGACAGACTAATGTCTGTATGTATCACAGTGGAAGTTATCCATTAAAATATTTTCAATTTTGTGAAATAAGAAAATATTTTCTTCTGAATGATATCATGTTGACTAATTGAAATCATTTAAACTCTAATTTGAGCATCTGCAGTTCAGATGGAGATCTGATGAATATATATTGAGTCCTTTCACTGGAATAAGGCGTTTTTCCAGATTATAGAAAAATTAAATTATCTGAGTTACACTATGACATTATTCGATTCCACTAGCAGTCACATGCCCAAGTGTCCCTGGGCAAGACACTGAACCCCTCATAGCCTCTGATGTGTGTCCCATCAGTGTATGAATGTGATAAAGCTCTGATTAGTCTTTGTACAGGTATAGTAGAGTGCTGTATGAACGGGTAAATGAGGACACAGACTGTGTTGTAAAGAGCTTTGAGTATCTTGATAAGATAGAAAGGTGATATATAAGTACAGTCCATTTAGCATTTATTCATGTTTCAGTGGTGCACAAATCTCACGACACATTTCTCTGCCACCCACTGCTGTTATTTCTGCCCCCACATCCTCTTCATTTGACTTCTTTTTTTCTCAGGCACATCTCTCACTTTATGCACAAAGTTCCTTTTCCTTCTTCCCAAAGGCCTCGCATCTTAGTGCAGGTAAGCTTTTAATTGTGAGAGTGAAATACTGCTTATGATTTTTTTTTTATTACACAAGGTGCATGTTAAACTCAGGCCATCACCACTGTGCAAAAAACAAAGTGAAATAAATGTGCCTGGATCGTGCAGAAGTTAGATCCTCTTTCATGAATGAATATTTAAATGATTCTGCAGGTGCTTTCTGTTTTGCTTGGTTGGTTTAATCTCACTTTCCAGTTTATCTCCAGCTTTCCCCTCATGACAGCCTGATGTTGAGCCAACCAGTGAGTTCTCCGTTACCTCTCAGGTAAGAGCAGCTGCTGTGATACGTTTAGGGTCCAACCTTTATTTTCTTTTCAGACTGAAAAGATTGATGTATAAGCCGTTTGCCTGCCTTTTAGCAAACTGCATTGTTTTGAAGCCAAGAGAAGGAAAGACTGTAGAACAGGCAGGAAACGCAGTTTGTTGTCTACATTTTTTCAATTCAACCTTTATTTATACAGGATAGTCTCATTGAGCCACAAATACTAATTTACAAGAGAGACCTGTTACAGACAGAATATAAAAAGTATAGACAACAAAAACAATAAACAACAATAAACTACAGTGCAGTTAAATGGCATGCAGTTAACATAAGAGTAGTGTATAAAACAATAAATCAGGGTGCCGTAAAACAGGGTGAAATACTAAAAACAAGAACATGTTTGCTTTGATGTTTCCACTGGCATTATCAAATGTTTAAAATCCTCTGAATAAATTAAGGAGGACAACTTCAGTTGTTGTTGCAAAGTGTTCCAGGTTACAGGAGCAGAGTAGGAAAAGGTCTTTTTGCCAAGTTCATCCGCACTGAGGGGACGCTGCAGGTAATGATGGCCTGAGAGCGCACGTTGTAACTGCACTGATGGCGTGACATGTGGGAGGAGATATAAGGTAGCAGACCAGGAAGTGATTTATAGATGAAGTTGAACCAGTGTGAGAGCCTACATGTTGATAATGATGACCAACTGACAAAGGCGTACAGAGATGGGTACAGTAGTTACAACTAGTTATGAATCTTAATGTGCCATGGTAGACAGTATCCAACATCTGCAAGCAGCTGGCAGGGGCATTCATGTAAATAATGTCACCAAAGTCAATGGCCGGTAGGAAGGTAGCAGTTACAAGTCTACATGTTGAAGCTTCATTATCTTCTCTAGTTTTACATGCTTGTCTACTGTTGTCATCATTCTTTGTTAAAATCAGGTCTCACATGTAAACGAGTCCTCGAGGCTCAACTGAGACTAACCTGTATTGTATAAATAAAGGTTGAATGAATCAATCATTTGATTCACTTATTTTAAAATACTGTTTAACTAGAGAATTTGCATTTCCTGCAAAAATGCAGTGTGAATGCTTATTGCCGAAGAAAACAAACAGATTATTCTAATCCAACATATGTTCAAAAATAAGAAAGGATTAAAAAGTGCCGGTAGTGTGCAATAATGATTTGATCAGTAAATGTGCATGTTGTGTTTTCTTGTTTTTCCAGCGGTGGGAGATTTTCCACACTGCTCCAGAACCTCGGTCCAGAAAACGCCGTGACCTTACTGGTGTTTGCCGTCACTGAACATAAGATCCTGATTCACTCGTTACGCCCAGCGGTGCTGACCAGTGTAGCCGAGGCTTTAGTGTCTGTGAGTTAATCCAGTAATCCAACCAGTGTGTCTCCAGCTTTACATTTTATTTCAGGCTAATTCAATCCCTCATATCTGCTGTTTATTCATACGAATGATGTTGACTTTCTAGACTGGAGTGTTTTTCTTCTTTTCATCTTCTTCCTCAGATGATCTTCCCTTTCCACTGGCCGTGTCCATACATCCCCTTGTGCCCCCTGGCTTTGGCTGATGTGCTGAGTGCCCCATGTCCATTCATTGTCGGTGTGGACTCTCGATACTTTGATCTTTACGACCCTCCACCGGATGTGAGCTGTGTGGACCTGGACACAAACACCATTTTCCAGTAAGCTCTGTCCCATAACCCTTTATTTCAGGGATGCAGCTAGCAGCCGGCTTGGGACCCGAGAGTCCCAGGTTCGATCCCCAGTCACTGCACATCACGTGGCGTCTCTGGGCAGCACGTCTAATCCCCAAAATGTCCCCCGGGCGCTTTCAATAGCTGCCCACTGCACCACCTGGTGGTGGATGGGTTAAATGCAGAGACTAATTTCGCCATTGTATGGAAACATACAGTGCTGACATTGTGATGACATTATTATTATTATTATTATTAAGTCTTTTAGGAATCAGAGCCTTTGATGAGGTATTTAAATATACATATGCTGTGTTAGTGGTTTCTGGAAGCCCCCAATTTACACCTTCAATAAAAACTACATCTCCCCTCTCTGCTTGCTTGTGCACATACTTATGCCAGCAAATCACAAAAGATAAATAAATTAAATTATTTATTAAAAAGCCTTTTTAGAACACGTCTTCTTATAAACAAGCCAACAGTAACATGGATGTTGCACGTATTTGTCCAGGGATGAGACGTCAGCGTGTTTGACAGTCTGGTAAAAACGTTGGTTACGTACTGTAACCCCAGATTCTATGAATATAAGCGTAGCCCTTTAAGGCCTTCGCTTTAGTGGGTTTATCCCGTTATGCAGAGCATAAGCACTGAAAAAAATTAGTCCACGCCCACCTGCTGTGTGGGCCCTACCCGGTCCGTATAAATTACGTTAAGAGCGGGAAATCGGCTCCCAAAATAGCTTTTTTCTTCAGCCATTTAGGAGCCAGTGAGGCCCGACGCTTAAAGGGCTACGCTTATATTCATAGAATCTGGGGTTACAGTACGTAACCAACGTTCTATGTCATATAAGCTTCGCCCTTTAAGGCCTTCGCTTTAGTGGGTAAAGGGCGAAGCCGATGTGGTCCTCGCCTCACTGGGTCCATTCGAACACAGTAAGAAGCGGAAGCTTGCCCAAAAAACGTCTTGTCACTCAGCTCCCCATGTGCATAAACTACGCATCGCGTAATTATGTGCCATGCACAGACGCATGTTGTGTAGCTATGCGTTCTGACAAAGCATGAATACCCCGGAAACTTTCAACGGGAAGAAGAAGTTGAAAAGGGGGGGGGGGGGGGGGGGCATGAACCAACTGGTTCATGGCTGAACAGTATAAACAGATTAATGTCCATAAATTGATTATAAATCAATTGAACTGATTGGTAACAATAATCATGAACTGATTAGTGACAATATAACCAAAATCACAGACACGACTTGTGACTGATAACAACATCTCACACTGTAATGCATGCAGACAGAAGTGAGCTTAAACAGAGTTCCATGAGAACAATAACATTCATTCTGTTAGAGCACTAAGGACAGAATGTGTCATGGAACGAGCCGTTACATCACGTAGGTAAAAGCGAATAAATGAGCAGGGTGTTGACCATGCAGCCGCAGTGCAGATGTCCTGCATTGACATACCATTATGCAGAGCAGTCGAAGATGCGATACCCCTGGTCGAGTGTGCTTAGAGGTTGACAGGAGGCTCTAAATCTGATGCTCTGTAGGCTTCAGAAAAGGCCTCACACAGCCAGTGTGACAAGCGCTGGATGGATAACGGCGACCTGTAGAAGCATCTCTATAATGCACAAACCATTGTTGAGTTTGAAACGCATTGCAGCTGTGTGCGTTATGTAACACGTCAAACGCCCGCACCGGGCAGAGAAGATGAAAAGATGCTTCCTCTTCTGATCTGTGGGGGGGAAAAAACCCCTCCAACGATATCACTCTTGATTTAAAAGAGCTCGTGATGTTTTAGGCATAAAAGCTGGGTTGGTCTTAAATCAGCTGAGCTGCCCGTCAGCCTAATTCTAAGGCATGACGAAGCAACAGAGAGGGCAGATAAATACTTACCCTCTTAGCGGGTGTTAAAACCAGCAACAGGGCTGTTAAAAGAGACAAGAATTTAAATGAAACCTGATCCAGAGGCTCAATTGAAGCTTTGATCAGGGCTCGCAGGACCAGCGTTAAACCCACTGTGGAAAACAAGTGGGCGTGAAAACAGGCCTACATCTCTGTACACCTTTTAGAAACCGCTTCATCAGCGGGTGATAAAAGCTGTTCTGACTCCAAACCCTTGTGGCAGGAAGAGATGGCTGCAATCGTACGTTAAAGCGTACTGAAAGCCAACTCCCTACCCATCAGCTGTTGTAGAAAAACAACACGCCGCTTAAAAGGCATGAGGTGGTCTCTAAACCTTCTCTGAGCACCAGCGCTGAAAAGCCGTCCCCTTGATGTGTACAGAACTGTGGTAGATGCAGCACGTGAATCTTGAATTGTGCACACTATCTCCTGAGGGAGACCCATCCTCTAAGTGGAACCGCTCAGCGGTCAGACCCACCGGTGTTGACCTATTTCTGGGTAACTCTTGGTCGCTCCTCCTGCCTGAAGGAGAGCATCCTTCCTCCATGACAGTTCCACGGCGACCCAACAACAGACGTTGCAGGCCTGGGAACCATAGTGCGTTCACACGCCGGGAGCCACCAAGGAGGGCTGTCAATCCCTCCTCTTGAACTCGGTTCATGGACCGTAAAAAACAGAGGAGGTGGGGGGGAAAGAAACGCGTAAAAAGCGTTTTGGGCCACCGACTGTGAGCAAATGCGTCCCCCCCCAGCGATGGATCGTCTCGCGGGCTCAGGGAAAACCGTAGTTGACATTGAGCATTCTTCTCGCATCGCAAACAGGTCCACAGCTGCTTTTGCCAACTTCTGCTGCGTCTGAAAAACATCAGATCCGGGTGGAGGATCCGGTCCACGTAACGTGGGCCGCCCTTGGACGTCACATCAGAACACCGGATATGTAAACCGCTCTAATAAAAGCAGGTTTTGATGAACCCAACTCAGTAGCTTTCGCACAATGTGTAACATCTGGCTGAACGCACACCCTGATGGTTATGTATGCAGCAGTCATCATGATGTCTGTGTGAATCAACACGTGTTGATTCTGTAGCACAGGAGCAAGGTGTTGAATCACATTCAGTACTGTGCGACACTCCAAAACATTGATGTGGGCTGATGTGTAGTGGGGCCACAGCGCCCCTACTGCTTGAGATAGGTATGTCCCCCCCCCAGCCTGACAGCAACGTGAAGACTGACCCATGACGTGGGTCTGCTGAGGGGGACTCCCTCTGATAGAAAAACAAGGTGTTTCCCCAGAGTCGGAGGTCTGCTTCCACAGAGGAAAAGACAATGATCATCCGTCGTTGTTTTACTGGATCCACATGCAGACGTGCAAAAACACCTCTAGAGGCGTCTCATGTGATAAATGAGTTTTCATGGTGGTTGAATTTAATTCCACTCCAGAAAAACAAATGTCTGGGCCGGGAAAATCGAGCTTCCTTCCACTTATGGCGAAGCCCAGATTAACAGGTGTGATGTCAACACCTGATCCTGCATCAGCGCCTCCTGTCTGAAGTGACAGGATCCGCAGATCATCCAGGTAAAAACAAAAAACTCTCGTCTCTGTGTTTTAGGATGATCGGTATGCGTTCTCTGGATGTTAAACAACAGATCCAAGAACGGTCTCACCCCTCCGATCCGTGAGTAAAAACCCTCGTGTTTTCTCTCCCTTGGGGAACTCTGTAGATTACTTTTATCAGAAAACACTTGGATTTCTGCATTTAGGGAAGAGAATCAGTCTGATGATGATGACGGGACCGTTTATATAACTCCTCTGAATGGAGGGGTTCGGGTTGCAAACTGTAACTTGTACCATTTGCATAAACCCTGTCCATCCATCTGAAAAAAACGGCGAGCATGTTTAGCCACTCTACGTAACGTTCGTGGATGAACGTGCGTTAATGATGCGTCATGTTTTGTACGGCTGTCAGCAGTCCGTCCCTCAACCGCCGTCATGCGTCGCGGGAATGTTTTCTGTGTGACCCCGGGCGAGACTTGAGCTGAAGGCGAAGCGTGTGACAGCTGATGACGCGGTGAGCTGCGCGTTTGACGTCGCTGTGCGAACGTTGAAAAGCGGAGGGCGTGACTTCATTTACACCGTGCTGTTGGAGTGAAGGCTGCTTAGCCCCGCGGGAGCACACGTTGTTCTCTGGAGGGACGCGCGCCGCTCTCGCTGGAGGGGCGCGCGCTAGAGGGAGGTGGGACTCATTACCGGATTCTTCGGCTGCTTCACGTTTAAGCTGCGGTGAGCTGCCGAAAGCTGAGAGAGAAGGACCCCCACCCGGACCAGCCTGCGGACCACATTCATACCGATGTGAGCTGGTTAGCGCCGGCAGCTGTGTGTGTGCGCCAGCATCAACGTAGCGCCGTTGGATGGAGGCTGTCCATCTTAGTGATCGACTCGTCATGTCAGAGCGGCGGTGAGTTAAAACCTGTTTAAGGACACCGGCTCATGTGGAGGCTGTTCCATCCCACGAGTGCGAGTTGACACCGCTTGAGTGAGGATCGTGCAGTTCTAGTTGGTAATGAGTTATTTTCGCTTACCGTTGTGCCGTGATCGACTCGTCATGTCTAGAGCGACGGTGAGTTTAAAAACCTTTAATTAAGGACACCGGCTCATGTGTGGGGGCTGTTCTGTGATCGACTCGTCATGTCTTAGAGCGACGGTGAGTTAAAAAACCTTTATTTAAGGACACCGGCTCGTGTGTGGGGCTGTTTCATCCCACGGGTACGAGTTGACATCACTTGGGTGAAAAACGTGCAGCCCGGGATTATAACGAGTTATTTTCACTTACCATCGTGCCCTGTAAGCGATTAATAATGTCTTGGAGCGGCGGTGAGTTTAAAAAGCCTTATAAAGGACACCGGCTCTTATGTGTGCGGCCGCTGTGAGCTCATCCGGGCTTACAGACTGGCTAAAAAACAGACACTTGATCATTAATGATGATTTATTTCAACTTTCGTGTCACTTTTACACACACCCTCCGGAGACCGTCATTTTGAGAGCTTTCTCTCTCATGAGCTCTGCGATTGTTTGCCCAGAGCGCTGTCTTGCAGGCGAACTCTGGGGAAACGCTGAGCTGCAGGCTGCCGGAGTGAAGAGGGCTGGATTCTGACGGGCGGGGCTGGTGGTGGAACTCAGCGAGAGCCGCGGCCGTGGAAAAGTCGAAGCTTGCTCGCGACGGTCCCTCCAGCGGGACAGGGTGGGCCGCGCGGCTTGATGAGGTGGTGCACAGCCTCTGGCACCTCCTCCGACTGTTTCACTTCGCCAGCATGGTTTGAAGCTGCTCTGAACAGCGCGTCCGCGATGTTTCATCAGGTCTTGTGCAGATTCTCCGGCAGCGAGGGGAGTAACGAAGCCAGGTGGGTCGTTGGGTCGTCGTCCTCCGCGCTGCAGTCCTCGACAGGCAAACCGTGGGAGAGGCACACATGTTGAGCTGGCGTCAGCTGCCTGACAGAGGGAGTTCTTTGTCTCCAAGGCAGGTCTGCGGCCTTCAATCCCTTGGACATGCTATGTGCTAGCAGCGCGCGTTGTTGCTAACTGCGGCTGCCTGAAAACACATCGGTGGGCTCGATTCGAGAGCGTGTTCGCCGTCTGGTTCGTGTTCCTCCGGAGGGACGGGACGCTGCTCCGGCCTGGGCAGCTTCGCTCCGGAAGCTTCCGCGAGGCTTGGCTCCAGGGGGGGTTACCGAGGAATAGCCCCGCTCGGTGAATCCCTCAACTCTGGTGATGGGAGCGGACTGGGGACCGACTCCTCTAATCTACCAGGAAAGAACCGTCTGCGGCCTCGCCCGTGGAACGTCCTGTTGGAACGTGAGGCCGTATGGATCAAGACGGTGAGCCACAGTGGAGCCCAGTGAAAAACAACCTTCCCGCCGATCATCCGAACTGGCGGGAAAAGGCGAGGGACGTAGAAAAAAGGGGTCCCTTCATGTCAGCCTCCTCCCGGGTTCCGCCGGGCAACCCCTGAGGGCGCCGTCGGCCGGGAGCGGTGTGATCGCCGATGCGAAACGAGGTGGGATGGGGTGAGCATTCACTCAGCCCCCCTCCACCTACACTACGCTACCCGGGAGGGAATGAGCAGCGGGGGCTGCAGCTGAGCACGCCTTGCCCCGGAGGAACCATCCGGTTCGCCCCGAGGGTCGGCGATAAGAGGAAAAAACACAAGATGGCGTTGTCCAGCGTGTAGTGACCTGTCACTGGGAAATGTTCCACGACGCTTACCTTGGAATAAGACTGCTGTCATCTTCTCCTCGGGGAGGAGAACTCACCGGACGACCGGAGGTCGACTGCCGGGCCCAGCATCCTTCACAAGGTTGGTCATTTACACAACTTATCTTCTTTGTTCTTCTGACAGTGCTATATTAGCTCGCTGAAGAAAAAATGGGAGCCGATTTCCCGCTCTTAACGTAATTTATACGGACCGGGTAGGGCCCACACAGCAGGTGGGCGTGGACTAATTTTTTTCAGTGCTTATGCTCTGCATAACGGGATAAACCCACTAAAGCGAAGGCCTTAAAGGGCGAAGCTTATATGACATAGAACATTTCTTTTCATTGTTACCACTTTACGACTACTACTATTTTATTTATAAAGCACTTAAAACAACTGCTGCTACAACAAAGTGCCGTACATGTCCAATCAAATAACATTAAAACATACAACAAGAAAATAAACACAGTTAAAACAATTGGATCAGTAAACAATAAAACAGAAATAGAAAACGCAAAAGCAAGTCTCAGACTGCGTCAAAGGCCAAGAAAGAACAAGCAGGACGGTGTCCCCCGTCGCTGAGGGATTTGAACAGTGAGTGTTTGTAGTTTTTGAGATGAGTGTTTTTCTGGACTGGAATTGAACAGGGAATGCAAGTACAGTAAACCCTAATATATTCAAGTGGGTAGAAGTTACACTGTGTAGAAGAAGATAGGAACGAAAGTTCATGCTCATTAATCCAGGTATAAATCCAACAATGTTCAGTCAGGTCATCTGGA